CACTTACATGACATTGGTTAGTTTCAGATAAATACAAGTATGACATTCACGGCCACAGAGAAGCTTGCTCCAATGTCTTCGTTACTCTATTCTAGGCCACTTGATGGATCTCGAGCAACTACCACTTTGATATTTAGTGGATAAAGTGCTTTCAAGCACTACGCACGCTGTCATGGCGCGCACACCAAGCGCCTAGCAAGCAGGATAAGTGTCAAGTGCGATCTGGTGTGAGTGCGTTTGATAACCTACCCAGTCGGAATGACTCTTTAGGTCAGTCATGCCCAACGTCGGCAGAACTCCATAAGCAAGTGCCCTGCGCTGGCAGAATTCCATATGCAAGTGCCCTTGCGCTGGGCGTGACTGCTTCAGGTACTAAATTCTTCATGAGAAATTTGATGTATGTACATTTAATTACTGTATGAAAAGTTAGTAAAAATTGATCTGCATGGAGAATTGAACGCATACATTTTTCACCATAATCGAAGTCTAAATATCTGTATGTCGTGGAAGCTTCACCGCTAAAATGCTCTGAATTCGACAAATAAGTCCGAACGAGAATAAAAAACTCTACAAAGTTCTCCAAACTGACAAAAAAAAAGTTTGAAATAGCCCAAAAATTGTCTTTAACCAATTTTAATAATTAATATTGCACAGGCCAGAAAAATGGGGGGAAAAATTGTGTGTGGCCATAAAGCCGAAACTATGTACGTAAAAATTACGTGTAGTATTTAATCAAACAGCTGTATTTCATTATTTTATTTTAGATATAAGTATTCCGGCTTTGTGTTATTTGTTTAAAGTATAGCCAAATGAAATAAAAAAATATGTTATTTTTAGGATACTTATATACTTTTTATTTTTTGTATATATGTTACCGCATAACTTTAGACCACGTTAACCGATATCCATAATTCCTTTTTTAGAGGAAAGGTGTTAGCTTTGCTCAGAATTATTATCCTATTTAAGGCTTTGAAGATTTGGTTATCAAATAATGCTTATTTGTATAGTTGCATTTATAAATATTTTTTATTTGTTTTTTTTTATATTTTTTTACGTAGTATTGTTAAAGGAATTTATTATTTACCATTTTGATATATGTAAACGTAGGTACGTGTATTTAAATTAGCCTTAGATCTAATCAAAAGCCTGTTTTCATATAAAGTATGTCGATAAAAAAAATACTATCAATGTGTTAATATTTTAGACCAATAGGTACCTCAATATTCAATGAAACAAAATGTAAATAAAAACTTTGAAACAAGAATGGTGATAAACAAAACTATCGTCAATAGTTTAGTATACTCAATAACTCAGAATTATATAAAAAGAATATTTTTGAAACAAATAAAAAAAATACAGCTCATAATAAATTAAATAAGTTGTTTGAATTAAAAATTATGTGGAAACACGATTAATAAGTACGCTAGAATGAATAGTATATATTTTATGCTGGTTGAAATTAATAAGATAAAAATTTTTATTAAGAAAGTATAATCTTAGAATAGAAAGCATTATCTGAA